AAGCAAAGCCTACAGCCTCAACTGTGGCTCCCGTCCGCTCCGCTCTGAGTTCCTTGGAGATCATGGAGGGCATGCGCCAGAATATTAAATTCAAAGCAGCAAAACATCCTGAAATAATCCAGGGTTTTACGCGAATCATTAAAAATAATTACAATTCATAATTTTTTGGGGATTTTTTCATTAATTTCATTAAAAAAAAAAATTTCATTAATTTTCATAATTTTTATTATTTTTTTATTTTTTGGTGTAACAATCAACATATGCCGAACCGAACCGAAAACCGTGACCACGAAACCGTGAACCGAACCGAACCGTGGATTTCGTGAACTGCTCCACCCAAGAGGTGGGCATAGATACTCAAGAGGTAGGCATAGATACATTTTTTAAAATCTAGATTAATCTCACTGTAATCTTAGAATTAATCTAGGGGATTCATTAATCAGAATTACTTTATTTACTTTAATAATCCCTTGCAGGAAATAACATAAGAAAATGAATTAAATAAGGATAAGAATAAAATAAGATAAGGGTAAGAATAAAATATGGATGATATGTGTGTGCTTCCTAAATAATAATTGAAAGTAAGTCTTTGAACAGGTTCCTCTAGTCAGTTGGTGCATTAGACCAGGGGCTCATTTCCTGTTTCCAAAATGCATCACATAATACCACTGAACCAACATTTTCATAAAGCGTCCCATTTTACCCACATTCACCAAACCAATCATCAAGAAGCAAAAATTATTTATTAGTAATCATTTGTGGTGTCGTGGTAAAATAAAATTTTAAATAACATAACATTGCCTACCTAAAGCGAAAGAGTGAAGTTCCCAGCTTGCATCGATAACGTGTGCAGTAACCTGAGGTAGTTATTATTGACAGATATCCAGTGGTCCACTGTTAGTACTTAACACGCCCCGACCAATTTCTCATCTTTCGCGGCTTTCTCTGCGGCGTGCTGGGCATGTATGAGCACATGTGGCCACGTGGAGAACGAGCTCGAACCCATCATCTTCAACCCCGCTGATGGTCTTCCTTAAAAATAAATCTACCCATAAGCAAACATGGCAGCTTTATAGCTGCATCCATGTTATCACATCACATTTATAGTGTTAACAATAGGCCTGCACACAAAAATGATTTGTTCACGCCCCCAGATAGGCATCTGCGCTATGTATATATGGAGATCAAGGGATAAAAAGTAGATAAAGTTCAGAGGTGCCCACTGAAGGCCTAGTTACCATATGCACCACCCACCACTGCCTGCTAGTATTATTTTGTTTAAGACTGTTACGATAAAACTGTATATCTTTCTTATTTAAAACATTTTAATTAGCTTAATTTCAGGAATAACAAATGATTTTTTTGCCTAATAAAGATCAGAAGATTGCTTATTTTCATTGAAACATTGAAACCATTGCGGTCACCAGCTTGTTGTATTGCAGAAAGGCATCAGCGCTACTTTATATGGGTAATTCTGGTGCTAAGAATCACGAGTCGTAAAGTCCCGCCTCCTACACTCTCCCTGCTTTGTTTGGAAGTTTTTGGACTAAAGCTTGAGCAAAAGTTAACTGCTTCAGTTAATCCAGCTATCAGGTTTATAATCTGGGTATAGAGACGGACTCAGACCTGAAATAGCCATATAAAGACATAAAAAAATTGGCTTTATATCACCTAAATCATGAACGACAGACAGATTATGGACAATGCACTATGGCTATCCAGCTACTGTAACAGGACGCCACATATATACCGAGCTGACAGGGCAGCAGATGACTCCGGAAAGACCAGAGGCAGAGGCTTGTGCATTTATATTAGCAAAGGTTGGTGCACAGACTCTGCTACTGAGAGACACTGCCTACAGTGCGCAGAGTTATCAATTGTCAAATTTAGACCTTAGTATCTCCCAAGGGAATTCACTTCTATCATCCTCACTGCTGTCTATACGCCTCCGAATGCTAATGCCAAGCCAGCCTGGAAAGAACTTTATGCGGTCATTAGCAAACACCATACCAAACAACTTACTGTTATTGTTGCGGGTGACTTCAACCACTCCAACTTGAAAACAATCCTCCCCATATTCCACCAACATGTTTCCTGCCACACCAGAGGAGACAAGACCCTGGAACTACTCCAACCTAGCTGGAGCATTCAAGGCAACACCCCTCCCGCACATCAGACAACCAGTCCATCTCTTCCTGTTCCTCACACCTTGGTACTCACCCCTCATCCAAAGTGTGAAACCTACTGTGAGGAGAGTTAAGGTGTGGCCAGAGTGCTCAGTACTATGGTGCTGGAGGACCTGTACTGGACCTCATCTCCATCACCATAGACGGTGTCACCACCGACAAACACTATGTACCCCAACCAGAAATCCTGCAGGAATCGGGACGTTCGCCTCCTATTGAAGGCCCCCAACATCGCCTTCAGGTCAGGGGATGCACAGGCCTACAGAGCAGCCAGGGCTGAGCTGAAGAGGGGCATCAAGAAGGTCAAACTCCACTACAAAAAGAAGGTGGAGGATCACTTCTCCAACTCCGACCCCCGACGTATGTGACAAGGCCTTCAGATTCTCACAGACTACCGGACCACCAACACCTCTCCCGCCTCCTCAGATGTCACATTCCTCAATGAGCTTAAAAACTTTTATACTTGTTTTGAGAGAGGGAAGACTACAGCTGCAGCCCAGGCAGCCTTTACCCCAGACCACAGCTACTGACTCTCCCCTCCACTGACGTAGGAGTGTTCCTGAGCAGGATTAAAGCCCACAAGGCTGCAGGTCCTGAATGCATCCTTGGACATGTCCTCAGAGTGAGTTCTTGGGAGCTTTCGGGAGTGCTGACAGATCTTCAACATGTCCCTGGCCCACGTTGTGGTACTGACCTGCTTGAAGTGCACCTCCATCGTCCCAATCCCCGAGGAACTCCAACTCATCCAGACTTAGTGACTACCGTTGGCTAGCCCTCACCCCCCTCATCACCAAGTGCTTTGTGTGGCTGCTTCTAGCTCACCTAAGATTCTGTCCCCCACCGGACCGCCACCAATTTAAATACAGGCAGAACAGGAGCACAGAGGATGCAGTACCCATAGCGCTGCACTCTGTCCTTCCACACCAGGACAGTACTATAACTTGAACAATTCATAAGTGGCATATTTATTACAAGCATTTGTTAATATGGGCTTAATACTAATGTTTTTTTTTTTCCTGCCTGCCTTTTGTATCTCTGCTTCTGTCTCCTTGAACCCCAGTCAGCCTCGGCAGATTACCGCTCACACTGAGCCTGGTTCTGCTGGAGGTTTCTCCCAGTTAAAGAGGAGGTTTTTCCTCTCCACTGTCGCTACAAGCATGCTTAGTGTGAGGGATTGCCTTCGAGTTAATTAGTCGATGCAATCAACTGGTTTTCCTTAGATGGAAAACTTTGAATCAATTTGACTGTATGATCTGGTGAACTGTAAAGTGCCTTGAGATGACATGTGTTGAAAATTGGTGCTATACAAATAAACTGAACGGAATTGAATTAATAGTTATTTTAGATGGAGGCTATGTTGACACAATATTATTTAAACAAGATGTAAACAAATCCACAATTAAAATATATTTGCAACATTAGGCTATGCTCAGTGATTATTTAATACTTTTTGTGTTGTGAATTGCTGATTATGGGTAGGGTTATAACAGTTAATAAATTAGATGAATTAAACAAGATATTATTTATAGACATAACATAACTAACTGTGACACTTCATATGGTACATATAATATATATAAATATATGTTCTGTGTTTTATTTATATATATTCCATTAAAATGTTTCATACTACAAAAGTGATGCAAGCCACGTGGTTCAGTTGCAGACAGCTCTGTCAAGCTTCAAGCAGACTTTTAAACGCCCATCAGCACAGCCAGACACCCTGGTCCAAATTCCAGGTGAGGCACTGGAACGGACGCCGAGTTTTCACTTTAAGCCTGATACAAACAAGCACACTGACCTATAAAATGCTGTTGGTAACGTCCATGCAGGCCAATAAAATCACTCTTCGGTCGTCACTTCAGAGGAAAGCCCGCCCCAGAAATGAAAGATTGTAATTCGTAAAACGCGATTTAAAAATAATTAAATTCTTTAAACTCAATCTTTGAAAAAAATTTATAAAATTGAGGTATGAAAAATAAATGAATAAAACAAAATTTGAGAAAATAAAAAAGTTTTCTTTCTGGATTCCTTTTTTTTTAACATTTAAATCCACAAAATGTGTTTTTGTTTTCAAATTCCCATTTACAAAATGTGCTTTTGTGCTTGCAAAAATAATGGACCAAAATTCACTCCATACACGTCATGCATGTTTGTTTGTCTGTAAAGATGTTTTTATGAGAATCCAAAGGAAGCGCTTTAAAATGTCATATTTCACTGTTAAGTTTTGCGTCTGTTGGATTTCATCTCAGGGCTCTGCAGAGCGAGAGGCTATTGCCACAGAGGAAATGTCGACTCTGGTAAACTACGTCCAGCCAACCAAGTTCAACTCCTTCGAAGCATCAAAGAGTAAGTGAGCAACACATGAAGAATCTGCTGCCTTGTGATCTTTGCAGCACAGTGTGAAATGCTGGATCTTTGTACTTTTATCTTTGCTTTAATTTCATGTTTTTTCCCCTCATTATTTTTTACACTGGCAAGTCTGGAACTATTTCAGAATGTAAGATCATCTGTGGCAGTTTTCCCAAAGTTGATATCTGAAGGAGGGAAGTGATGTAACAGAAATAATTGCCCAGAAATGAGCTTCCTGTTTTTTTCCTCTTTCTGTGTCTAGAGGCGGCCCGCTGTTACCACATGTCGTCTTTTGTAGAGACCAAAGCTTTGGAGCACCTCACAAAGTCACCAGTGGAGTTTGTGGAGTATCCTTGGCAACCGATTACCATAGTTGCAGAGCCCCATGGCAACCGGTTCTTTTCTTTGTTTTCCCTCTTCCTCTTTGAATATATATTTATTTTCTTCTTCAAATGTCAAAACTCTGTATGAGTCACTAAGGAACTTTTGCATTGATTTTTAGTTAGCTTTGTTATTTATGTTGGCTTGAGTAGGAGCCAAGTTCATGAGTCCCTTTATACATTTAAAATTACATTTATCTTTTTAAGGAAAAATTTTAAAATAATTGAAAGGACATTTAGTTTTTGTATAGCCTGAATGCAATTATTTATGCTTGTACGAAAGTATAATTCTTTGGTTCCTTAACTTAAAGTGAAGATATAATAAATCCCAGCTGAGTCGTATATATCCCAAAGGAACCAGAGTGGACTCATCAAACTTCATGCCTCAGCTGTTCTGGAATGCTGGATGTCAACTTGTGGCCCTTAATTACCAAACTATTGGTAAAGATTAAATACTAGCATAAAAATGCTGAAAACCACTGCTCCCCAAAGGGGATGGATTAAATGCAGAGATCAATTTCTCTATGTGAGATCAAGAAAGCTCAATTTATTTTATTTATTTGGAAAACATATTACATACTTAGGTTTTATTATTACAAAACCTTCAAACTAATCAAAAAAGCTAGAGGTTCGTAAAGATTAAAGTAAAATTTAATTTGTAATCCCTTTAGGCCTGAGTTCACAGCGTCATTTTACCTATTTTGTCTAAATTTATGAGCTCCGATTATTTTTTGTAAAAATCTCCCAGAAAAACTCCTAATATTGTTAATTGATAATATTTAGTGCAGCCTTGTTCTTGTAATTTTATGACTTTATTCTCCTAATTTAACATCTTTATTCCCATAATTTTACAACCTTATTCTCATGATTTTACTACTTTATTCTCATAATTTTGCGACTTTATTCTCATAATGTTATGACTATGTTCTCGTAATTTTATGGCTTTATTCTCGTAATTTTACAACCTTATTGTCATAATTTACAACTTTATTCTCGTAATTTTACGATCTTATTCTCATAATTTTATGACTTTATTCTCATAATTTTCTCAACTTTATTCTAGTGATTTTATTACTTTATTCTCACAATGTTATGACTTTATTCTCGTAATTTTATGACTATTCTCATTGCAACTTTATTCTCCTAATTTTACGACTTTATTCTCATAATCTTACGGCCTTATTTTAAAAATTTTACGACTTTATTCTCGTAATTTTACGTCTTTATTCTCATGATCTTATGTCTTTATTCTTGTAATTTTAGGAACTTATTCTCGTAAACTTCCGACTTTATTCTCAAAATAAAAGAAAAAAAATCTCTAGCCTGGCCCTAAAACGCTGCCGTAGTTGTTCACCACAAACCAAAATAAATAGTTTCAAGATGATGCAAAGTTAAATTTGAAGTTATCATCCAGAATTGCAGAAAAATGTTCCCTTAATAGGGCAGTGCAGTAAGGCTTCTCTCCATAACGTTTTCTTCTGCATTAATTTTATACTTAAAGTAGTTTTAAAAATAGTATTTCAACCTGAGTAGAATGCTTGTTAATACTCTAAATTCTACAAAAGTTTTTTAAACAGCAGGATTTGTACTTCTAATTGAGTAATAAACATGAAATCATTGACACCTCTGGAAATGGTCGGTACTGTATAGTAAAGGCAATTATCCTCATTTATATGCTTACAATAGACTTTGAAAGGCTTAAAAAAAGCCTGATATAGCACCTTTAATTCCACCCACACTATATAGCCCAGACTGCATTCAATTATTCTATTTCAGTCTTATAATCAGACTGAATCAAACAAAAAGAGTCACTCTTGATATTTTAAAACAAAAGGAGCTTTGTGTCCCAGATTTTTCCATGCAGCTGAACCTCTTCATGTTCGAGTACAACGGCCGCAGCGGCTACAGACTGAAACCGGAGTTCATGAGGCGGCCGGACAAGCATTTTGACCCGTTTACAGAAAACACAGTGGATGGCATCGTAGCTAACACGCTCTCTGTGAAGGTATACCTCAACCATCAAATCCTCTCCATTTTCAGTATCCTAGAATTCCTCTTAAAGCCATTGATAAAGAGAATTGCTTGTGTTGATCACAGGTCATTTCAGGCCAGTTTCTGACCGAACGGAGGGTGGGTGTGTATGTGGAGGTGGAAATGTTTGGACTTCCCGCAGACACCAGGAGAAAAGCTCTGAAGACCAAAACCTCCCAGAACAACAACGCCATCAATCCGGTGTGGGACGAGGAACCCATCGTCTTTAAGAAGGTAAGGGATGGCCGAAGGAAGACAGAGTAGAATCAAACTCTTCCTTCAGACGGATGACTTCTCCTGTTCTGCAGGTGATTCTTCCAACTCTCGCCTCACTGAGAATTGCAGCATTTGAGGAAGGAGGAAAGTTCATCGGCCATCGAATTATTCCAGTTTCTGCCATCAGACCAGGTCTGTTGTCGCTCATTTGTGTTTAAGTGCCATTCACCCCTTAATCCCAGAAAGGCATTGAGGAATATTTTTCAGGTGGAACCACTATTTTAAATGTCACCATGTCTGATTTATAGGTGATTAAACAAAGAAAAAAATGAAAAATATTTAGCCTCGCCAATTTTTTTTCCAAAATAACGAGTGCAAAAGACCATGAAACCCCATTTGAAACTCTGGTTAAACCCTCAGATTTTATAGATCCACATCTTGACAATAGGACGAGCAAATCTGGACTGAATAAGTTGAAGCATGTTTATTCCACAAAGGGTTTAGTGGGCAGTGTGCTAGGTGAAAATAAGATGTTGGCACAGTGGTGCCCAAAGTGGAAAAATGCATTTTTCCACTCATAAAAGGGAATCTGGTCTGACAAATATGCTGATTTACATTATGGAGACCTTCTGCATAACATGAAGCCTTTGCTACTAAGATCTTTCCATTGAAATATACCAATGTAACGCATGCCGGTTACATCACCTGAAACAGTCACACAATTCCCTCCGACCGCTTGTTGGAAAGCCTCTAGTTTCCAATGATTAGGGGGTGGGGCTAAAAACAAATACCTGCTGTTGCATTATTCCTGCAGAGTCACACATGCCAGTTGGAATTTTTAGTCTCATTTTATTTGTTTACACAGCTATAAAAAAAAATAAAAAGTAATTGTGAAAAAATAATATTGAAACATTTTTTAGAAATTTTAAAGTCCCATTTGAAAGGCGTGTGGATGAAACACCATGTGACTGTGTTTTGGCCATTTCTGTAAATAGATCAAAATGAGCAGGTGTCAGTTGGGCCCAGCACCGGGCTTAAGGGGTAAAGGATCTAGATCTATCATTGTCTACTGACTTCAAATATGCAACACAAACATCTGATCAGAGCATAAAGCTGCAGCAGAGATTTTCTCCTAGAGCTAAAGAAATGGTTCAATGCATTTAGTTTTTTTTTCTCTACAATCTCACAGACAGACTTGGCATATTATTCAGACACTGACTGCCTTCCTGAAAACATCTTGGCTCCCACTGGTTTTAGAATCCCACACATTCATTTTTAATAAATGATGGCTTTTAATTAAAAGAAGTAGAGGTGTTTGTTCTTTTTGTTGTTATTAGACTCAATCACAGCAGATTCTGCAGCGAACCTTTCCTGCTGGGTTTATATGTTTAAAAACCTGATTTACTTTATTTTCTGAGGGATATCTGAAACTGAAATCATACATTTATTTAGAATAGTTCTTTAATCTTAAACTGTTGAGGAGCTGAGTGAAACCTCTATCTTTTTTTTCTATTTATATGAATTTGATTTAGAATTTTGCTCTATTATTGTTACAAGCAAGAAACACTGAAATTCAAAACAAACAAAAAAAATGCAATATAAAAATCAAACTTTCAAAAATTTCTGAATCAGAAAAAAATTGTGAGTTTGGTGTTTTCTTGATATTTTTTATTTCAAGCTTATTTTTTTATATATTTTTTTATGTTATTCTTTTTCTTATTTTTTTCATTCTTTTTATATATTTTCAAAAAAAAATCATATTTCTCTTCTTTACATTGAATTCTATGCCTTTAATACGATTCATAATTGCATTTTTCAGCTCGCATTAATGCCTGCTTGGCAACAATCGGTTTTATCCAATCACAGTGAGAACTGAAGCAGCAGCAGACCGTAATTAGAAATCACAAAGACTTATACTTTAAGCTATTATTCCTCCTTTTTGAAAGAAGAAAATGTGGATTCTGATAAAAACAGATGATATAGCAGCGCCTACATGTACATCCTCTTTTGCTGCAGTATTTATTTCGGTTCAGCTGTTGGCTCAGCAGCTCTTTCTTAAATCACAGCTGAAGCCGGCCAAACACTGTGGAACTCATGATGTATGAGAATTTTTGCCGACTTTCAACCTGATGGTAACCTGACTCCGCCAGATGGATTTGCTCCGCATATCCATCTGGAAACCTTCGGTTGAAGTAATTTTGGGAAGGGGCGAAAATACTGGTTAGCTGATTGGCCTATGTTGGTGATAGACGGGCCAAATAAACCAATCAGATCAACGAAGCATATGACGTACTAACAGAGCGACGACGAAAACACAACCGTAAGCCAGGCTACTCTTGCCGAAACCAGTCGGGAGAAGAGCAAAAACATCTTTTCCTCTGAGAAAAGCCTCCAGAGCAGTGTTTTGCTCTTCTTTCATTGCGATAAAACTTGCTTGATAGCCACGCTAACGCTAGTTTCATCGGCTGAAGCCGCCATGTTCTTTAGACTGAACTGTCACGCTTCTCGTTGCGTCACACCTCAACCCGCCTCAAAGCCAACGCTGATTGGACGTTCGTTTGGTGAACGGCTGCAAAATTTCTTCAACGGAAAGTAGCCAGACTGATATGCGAGTGAAACCTTGAAAGCTCGCGAGATCAGGATGGTCTCACGAGGCTACCTGATGGTGCTTCGTGTCGTGTCTCTCGACCACCTCCCGATCAGGAATCGTAAGATCAGGAGTCATTGCTATGTCATTGCTAAGTGCGCAAACAAGCGTGAGTGAAATTGAGTTCTTTCTGTAAAATTGACAGACCGTAGTAGCTATGTTTGCTCAGCCATGTCTTTCTCCAAATACGTTGTTGCCTTTTCTTTTTAGGGCTTTCAGCACAGAATTGCACAAATAGCCAAGGCAGCGCGTTACACTCTAGTGAGCTTCATATTCCTCTGCTACTCGTTTGGCTTCTGGATAAACGAGTCCGAGTAGCACCATCTCACTGCGGAGCTGAGTCCCACCTGGTTTTCAGACGTACAGTGTGAGCAGGTAGATCGCATCAGAGCCTCGGGTCGCACAGTGTGAGAACAAACATCGTGAGCTGTTAACTTTTAAACCCTGAGGTCTTGGCCAACAAAAAAAAAAAAATCGCAGTGTATGCCGGGCTTAAGTGTCCTTCCTTAAACCATAATACTGCAACCTAATTGGCCAACCTGTTTTCAGTTGTTCCTCAGTCAAAGGGCAACTTTGTTGCCCACTTTGCGACTTTGTTGCTATGTCAAATAACATTTCACGACCTCTATAGGGACTTTTCTTTTTTTAAGTGACTAGCAACAACTCTAGCTACTTTTTTTTCTGTTTTTCTGGAGACATCTGCAGGAGCATGAAAGAACCAATCAATGTGAGTCTTCAGCGAGCATGGATGCAACCAATGAGTGGCGAGTGCTGCTGCAAGATCCTCCCTCTTCCATAGCACTGGCAGGCTGTCATGCTTGGCAGCAAACCGTGCCTGCAGACAAAGAGAGATGAGCAACTCTTTCTCTAATGAAATTAGGTCACATTTATACACTGACCTCCCCTAAAGGAGGGTGTAAATATACAGCGTAATATTTTTATCTGTTGCGCAAAAAGAGATCCTTTCCTTCCCACTCTGCCTCATTCACTGTTTGTCCTTTTCCTCACTGTCTTCAAGTTGAATTTGACAAAATAACATTTTTTTCAGGTAAAATATAACTAAAAGCTGAAAGTTATTTTATAGAGTTCTGAATTTTTTTATTTAGTTTCAAGTGTATTTAGAGTGAGCTTTATCGCTTTCTGCCTGGTTTATGTTATGTTAGAATTCAGATCACATTGTTTCTCAAAGAGCCTCTTTGGATAGTTTTTCTCTTTGACTTTTGAACCTAACCAGGTTATCTTTGATATTCGAATCTTAAACATGTAGTAAATATTTCATTTAACATTTCCTCTGCAGGTTATCGTTACATCGGCTTGAGGAATGAGAAGAATCAATCTCTGATTTTACCTGCTGTATTCGTCTACATTGAAGTTAAAGACTACGTACCAGATACATTTGCAGGTAAAAACTCACCATTACTTAGAAAAGTGACACAGTTAACAAAGAAATCCTTAGCTTTCTGAATTCTGAGACACAAAACGATCCATTCTTTCTTTATTAAAACTTGTGGATCTTAGTTTTAGGGATTTCTATTAATGAGCACTTTGGTTTGATTTTGGAAGATTTCTTGGTCTCAAATTCAAATTCATCATCTTATTTTTATTATCTTTAAAACGAATCTTGTTCAGGTTTCCTCAAATAATGTTCCAGTTTCACTGAAAACAGAGAGATTGTTGGAAGAAGTTGCTTCAGGGAACTTTTTTTGATTTTGCTCGTTACTCATCACAGCATTCTTGACCATTTCTTCTACAAACCTCTTATAACAACATTTCTGGAGCTTTAAATCTTAACGATAATGATTAGATTTGTTGATAGTGATGAATCAGATGTGTACTTCATGGCTCCTTAGAGCCCCCTGCAGGACATTCATTTTTAGAAGAAAAATGTGATCATGAGTCTAGTTTGTTTTAATATTCAAAGACCTTGAATTTGCCTCATCAGCTTTTTTTTTAATTTATCATCTTTAGACAATGGACAACATTCTTCATCCCCTTTGACTCTTTCATTTTCCTCTGCTTTTGTCTGCATCCTGGTTTTCCCTTCAGATGTGATCGAGGCTCTGTCCAACCCGATTAGATACGTTAACCTCTTGGAGCAGAGAGCGAAACAGCTGGCTGCTCTGACCCTGGAGGACGGCGAGGAGGAGGCGCAGACTGAGGTGGGCTTCTTCCTTCGTTTTTAGATTAATTGACCTTTTTTGGTTAAATTTATGCAACATAAACATGTTGGCTCAAATATGTTGTAAGTTTCGTATTAACTTTAAAACTGCTTTTTTTTGTTGCACAAAAAAAGAAACATAAATTCTTAAAAATGTATAAATCATTTTTTATATATTTCACTAATTGACATTTTTTACTGCACAATGCATGTTGGATTGATGATTTGGTTTGCTATATGTCATTCACCCAGAATGCATTGCAGCGTAAACAACATGGTGACAGCATTTTATTTAAGTTTATCAAACCTAAATGTACCGAAGAGGATTAGGGCCACTGAAAAAGTAAAAAAATTAGCTGATTTTTAAATTTTATTTCAGTATAATATGAGAAAAAAGTCAGAATTCTGAGATTAAAGTCAGAATTCTGACTTTTTTTTCCATATATAACTTTTTTTTATTTCTTCAGTGGCCCTAATCCTCTCCGTATAAACGGCTAACAGTACTTTCTCTATTGTATATACATGTAAAATAAGTATTTCTCAAATGAAATCTAATGTTAAAACTAATCCTGGGTTCCTTTAAGCTTAAAATTGATGACAACCTTTTTTCAATGATTTCCAGGATGACACAGAAACTGGAACAGAGCGTAAGAACGACCTGAAACCAGCTCCTCTGGAAAACGGACTGAGTCCCAGCTCCGGTCCGGTGGGTCACACTCCTGTGGCTACTACGCCAAAAGCCTCTGCAGCCAATCAGCAAGCGACTACAACAGGTGGAAAAAACAACCTATCAACAAGCTATAAGATCATAGTCGGATCGTTTCATTAGTGATAAAAAAACTGGTTTTGATGCCCGATTTCCTTGCTTCTCTTTAATGCTTCATTTCTGAACTTTAGAAGCAGCGAAACCAACAGCAAAGACTGAAGATCTAGTTTTAAGTGTTTTGATAGGTGAGTTTTTAACATTTTAAACTCTTCATCTATTAGGTATAATTAATCCACGAAATCCATCTTTGCAGTCAGGAAAAAATGATCCTAATAGATTGTGCTTGCTATTTTGTTGCACTTAAATATTTCATAATGTTATCATTTAATTGTTTTAGAAAAAACATAAACTGAGTAAATACAAAATTCAGTTTTCATATTATTAATTTGCTTATTAAGCAAAAATAAAGAAACCTGACTGAGCTGAGCTGAAATCCACCAAGGCCTGTTCACTCCTGACCTGTTTGACGTCATCCAGTGAGCGGAAACATAGATATCTGAAAACTCTGAAGATGAAAACCTGAACTAATTATTTTAAAAACAGGAGAACATCTATCCTACATGGAGATGATGCTCCCATTTCAGAGAGATGGTTTGAAAAAGGTGAAGGAGGACAGCACAAAAAATAAAAAATAAACCATCGCTAAGCCGAGGCGGTTTTCATTTTCCAGCAGCTAAGACCTGGCTTTTCAACATGATATTACACAAGCAGTCTCCTCAGGATTCACACTAAATAATAGACCATACAGACCCAGAGGAGGGATGGATATGATGCTATTCAATTCAGTTCAGTTTATTTATATAGCACCAATTCACAACCAGTGGT